CATTTACAGAGTAGAGTCACTTTAAAAACTAATTATATATTCATTTTAATGCTGCTACCAGACTGTCTATTCCTGTTTTCTTTTGCCTTTTATATTCCCAGTTAATTTTTTTCTATAGTATTAAAAACGGATTATGTAATATGATGTTCTGGTGAATGCAGGACCTTTCCTACTCCCAAATAAATATTCAAAAATATTTTGCATACATCCTATGAACAAGGCTTGTGAAATCATAATGTGAGGACTTATGAACATTCATCTTTCCTATACGGAAGTATAATCTAGTCAACTGGATGGTATAGCAAATCATCCTGACACATTTATATTAATGCACATTTGAATGAGAAAAAGAAAGAAATAGTCAAATTTATGTTAAAGACTTCTAAGGGCTTAACAGCATCTTACTAAGTATATATGTCAGCTTAATCTAATCCTCCTACTTCTAATACGTTCTGTGGTCTCTGCACGGGGCCCATAATGCTCTCGCATGTTATGAGGGATTGCCTCTGAGAAGTTCAACATCAGTACTACACTTTGTTCAATAAAACTTTACATCTGGTCTTAGGATGACAGAAAGCTATCTGTCTCAAATTTGCATTACAAACCTTCAGCTTCTTTTGACATCAGTAACACCAGCTATAATAATTTCCAATAACCTGTTACAATATGCAGAGTGTACATATTCCTGGTTCTCATCTTACTCTGTCAGGTAACAACAGATTAATTTATTTGGACAGTTTTAAATAAATGATGATTTCTTTACACTCAAAAAAAGCAATCATCTAATCAGAGGCTCATTTGAGAAGATCTGTAGCAGTATATCCTCCCTTCACTCCAATTTTATGTTGTAATCAGAAAAAAGGTACCTTTATTTCTTTTCTGTGCTTTTGAGGAGTCAACATATTGCAGTTCAAGATCTTACAAGAATTATTGAAGAGTATTTACTAATCTTATGAGATGATGGAAGTCCACCTTAAAATCCACTAATGTGGAACAATTTTCTTCTCAAACATCTCTCCTGATTTCCGAGACATGATAATTTCTTTTCCATTACAGATACATCTGTCTGATGTATTTCATGTTAAAAATATTTGAAAAGCAGTCTATTATCCCCTGCTACATTATTAAAATTATTTTTCTTCAGCAGATAATGCATGTGATGGGAGTTGAAGACTCCAAAAGGACAGATCTACTTGTGGGATTAACAATATCTAACACATCAGAGATCAAACGTGTCACTTATGGATTATCATACAGATGGGTAGCAACCTGTACTACCTGAGCCGAATTAATAAATGGCAATTGCAAAACTGGTCTCTCAATATAATTTGTGTTCTGGTAGCCACATCAAAAAACCAGTATTTTTTAAAAAACCACATATTAGGCCTTCAGATTTACATTTCTGCTTTATACGATGTCCCAGTAAAATGATATTCTGTGATTGAAAGGCAGTTTTACCAACTATCTCATCAGTAGCTTAAGTAAATTCTGTTACCTGACTACAGAAAGGTAGTAGAAATCACCACAGAGACATCCAAATACTCAAAATATCTTAGGACAAGTCTACAGAGACAGATATGAACAAGTTTTGACCATTCTCAGAGCTGATAAGACACAAAGCAGTGCTACTATGGAAAGCAGTATTGTTCCCTATTGTAATCTACCCCATTCAGATGCATTCTGCCCCATTCAGGTGTATTCTAGAAGCAGAGAAGGCTCAAAAAGAAAACAGGAATAAACTGTGAGAAAGTGGAAGGAACTGTTGCCATCAGAACTTAACAATCACCTTCATCTGGCGTTATAGGCAGGTTGAAATACCTTGGGATTCAAAAGAAAGACCTGATATTAGTTCTGGTAGACTAAAACTATGAAGCACACTAAAGGACATGCACATCTGCAGTAGTTCTGCCTGTCAAAACTAAAGACTGACAATAATAACTGAGAAGATAAAACACAGACTATGTCATCTTGCTTACGGACACTGTCTATGGGATACTGAAATTAATAATAATAATGGCCAGTCTTCGCGAGCGAAGATCCGGGGAAGGTCTTTCCACCTTCCAGCCTGCGCATTGGATTTTTTAGGTGAGACACAGTGTGCGCGGAACTGAGCCCACCCTTTAATCCTAAGGTTCATCTGCCGGGGCCAAGCGAGCTTGGACGGTGGCAGCGAGGTCCTCAGGACGTAGATGGGTTGCCTTTTTAAGGGCTAACAAGCCCCACCTGCCCGGGAGTGGCCCTGACCAGGAATCAAACCCGGGCCTCGGCGGTGACAGCGCCGCACCCTTAACCACTAGACCACCAGGGGCTCCCGATACTGAAATTAATGGGAACATATTGGACACCTCATAGAATGATTTGGTAACTGAGAGTAAATATATATGTCTGAGTGTATTTTAAATTACGAGAAGTAAAATTATAATAATAGTGCAAGAGACAGTCAAAGACATGGTTCAGTAATATGCCACATCCCTTTGAAAGTTGAGGATGCTTTACTGGAAACTAAATGCCTTTCAAGGCTCCAAGAACATGTATTACCAGAACATTTGAATATGTCCCTATATCTTAACAATAAATTAATAATTAGACTTCCAATTTTGAATCGGATGGAAACTATCATCAAGACAAACTTCAACAACAACTATTTTAATTTGAGAAATTATTTTTGAATATATTTCACATTTATCCTTCACTATGTGAATTTTCTGGAAATTTTTCCTAAGAAGAAAAAAGTTACTGTAAAATTCTTCATAAATGAAGTGTACTACTTGTAAATTTATGAAATGAAATAGTGCTACTTGTAAATTTAATGTATTCTATATATTCTAGAGATTTGCAAAAAAGTCTTTCTTATCAGTGGGGATAATGATAAAATTGGTATAATGACAGGAATTATTATGACAGTGCAGAGATCTGAACACAACAAGAATGAATATATGACAATCACAACAAATCTTTCTATGTCTATGCTATTGGTAGTATAACATGAATGGAATTGAATCAAATTTTTATGCACACAATTTTTACATTATATTGAACAATATATTTTATAAAGGAAATGAAATTGTTCTGGAAGTAATTATTCTATGGCCTATATCAGAAAGAAAGCAGGCAAAACAGTAATGTTAATCCCATGCCAGGAACATGTTTTATCAGGTTTCCTTTTAGTTCTTAAACAAGATGTAGTAAAAACAACAACATTCTGTCAGACTATATGTTCATTCCTTGCTTCCTGGATTAAATATGCTTATTCTATGCCACATTTTTATAGCTTTCAATTCCTGTACTTTAAATCTATTAAACCATGTCAAGTTGAATTTTCTTCAAAAACTGCTGCAGGTTAAGAAAAAAAATAGGACAGTAGAATTTTTGAGGGCTAACATTTATGTCAGCTAATTAATATGGATCAGTTGTGGTCTGCAAGGATTTTTTAAAGTGCATGCATGTTTGAGATAAATATAGACTAAGAATCTGATTTTGTTCCTTCTCAAATTGAAAGCAAAGCTCTTACTGATTTCAATACAAGTATGGTCTACCAGTTTTATAGGCCTGACAGATAAAACAAGTTTTGTGCTCTTGCATAATATTAGTTGTCCCAAATTCAGCATAACCCAAAATGCAGATCTACAACATAAGAAATAAACTTTAGTTGTAACAATACATTTATTGCTCTGTATTCTCTTTAATTGGTCAGGGAATGAGATTTTGAAAAAATAAACACTGGGGTAAAACCCAGCAAATTTGTTTGGATAACAAGTTCTACCTTAAGTAAGTTGGTAAGAAATCAGCCTATGTTCAAAATCAGACACCCTCTAATCCAGAAGATACACTGACATTTCCTTATTTTAAAACATTAATATTTAATTTATTAAATATTTAATTTGTTAAATATTTATTATTCTCAAAAGAGTTTCTGCTAGCAGACAGGAATTGGTTATTTGAACATAGTTCTAGATCATGACAAAAACAGGCTACCAAATGGACAACTGTTCAAACACTTTTATGCAAAAGATTCATTCTCTCTATGTTGAATCCTGAAGTGGCTGGACTTCTCGGAAACTTCTATTTCATGGAATCACAGAATAACTCATACTGAAGCAAGATCATCTAATCCGACCGCCTACTCAAAATCAGTTCAGATGTGAGATTAGAGCAAGTAATCCAGGACTTTATTCTCTTTGGATCTCAAAAAGGCCAAGAACAGAGCCTTTCAATATGAGAAACATGCCTGGTAACCAGAAAAAGAACAAATGTATCTTAATCATAGAACTGTAAAACAGTTTGGTTGGAAGAGATCTCCAAGATCATGGAGTTCAGCTGTAAACCTAACACTGCCAGGTCTACCATTTAACTGTGTCCCTCAGCATCAAATCTACACATCTTTTATTCACCTCCAGGGATGGTGATTCCATCATTTCCCTGGGCAGCCTGTTGCAATGCTTGATAACCCTTCTGGTCAAGTAAGTATTCCTAATATACAATCTAATACTCCCCTGGGGCAACTTGAGACCATTTCTTCTTGTCCTGTTGCTTGGAGAGCATGGGAGAAGAGACAAACCCCCACCTCGTTACAACCTTCTTTCAGGTAGTTGTAGAGAGCAATAAAATCCTCCCTGAGCCTCCCTTTCTTCAGGCTAAACAACCCCAGCTCCCTCAACCACTCCTCAAATGACTTACTCTCTAAATCCTTCACCAGCTCTGTTGCACTTCTCTGGACACTCTCCAGCACCTCAATGTCTTTCTCGTAGTGAGGGGCCCAAAACTGAATACAGGATTCAAAGTGTGGCCACACCAGTGCCCAGTACAGGGGAACAATCATTTCCCTTCTCCTGCTGGCCACACCATTTCTCATACAAGACAGGATACCACTGGCCTTCTTGGCCACCTATTCTTGAAAGGCACTTGTAAAATGTCTTCTTCCAATGAAATCTCATATAGAAATAAACAAAAATTACCTTAGGCTTAGTATTACACGTGGTTCCTGTTGTGGTAAGTCTTACCTTTTTGTAGTGTTTCCACATCAAAGACATGCTCCTTGAAGAAAGCTCTAAGGGACAAAGGACTCGCACTGCAGTCTTCCGAAAGTTTCTCAACAGTTTGTTTAAACATAGCAACTAAGTCATGAAGAGGTCCATCTAAATCAAGGGGAGAAGTGGATGGTGAAATCAAGCTCAGACGTAAAGAGATTGATGCACAAGATGCAGAACTAGACTCCACAGATTCACACTCAATTTGGAAACTCTCTGACAACATCTTCATTGCAAAATGTTTTCTTTGGAGTGGTTCATCAACTACTGCAATAACATGCCATTCAATGGCAGCATCTCTGGGGAGGTGAGGTATTACCACCACAGTAAGCAACCCACACACTGCAGTTTCATCATGATGCGTTTCTGAGTCTTCTTCCTAAAAGATAAACAAAATATTGTCCATATTACAGAGCTGGTAAAAATTAGCATTGCTAAAATTTAGCTAAAATATTCAAAAAAGTATATGCAGTACAGTTATTTCATGGAGACTTCCCCTCAACTTTCCTTCTTATTGAAAAGTCATCTTGAGCAATTATGAAGTTGTTTGACAGTATCTGCTCATTTTTGCAATCTCAAACAACTACTATGCCTGTACCACTAAAAAAAAGCTGATCATGACGTACTTTGCACTCATTCTGCAATTAAAAGTCTTTTTGCAATGGTAACAGTCTGTACCAATGGTCTTTGAGGAATAAAAAATGGTAGTAACTACCAAAACTACAGAAATGGCTTAGTAAAGCACATTAAGCTTTATTTTAAAAGTTGGAGTTCTAAAGATGCAGTTCAGATTAAGCAAAGACATAGTTCAGACAGTTCTGAACAGCAGAATTTCCTCAATCAAACCCTCTTAGAATGTGTTTTCTTGATAGTAGAGTTCATTTAGAATGCATATTTAAATTGTTTTCACATCAACCAGCGTGTCTGCTTAGTTAACTTGGTAAGCTAATTCTGAGTAACTGAGGTCCTTTTCCTCTGATGGTTTTTAATAGTTTTCAAATAGCTGAACACTTGAAATGCTTGTTTTGATGAGTAGATTACATTTTTCCTCCATTTTTCCTCCATTTCTATGAAGTGACAGTATACTAAGTATTTTTAATATTAGTGACTTACACCATTTTCTTTGTGTACACAGATAATAACTTTTTTATATACCAATTTGCTTACACAGCAGTATATACTGGCCATATTGTCCATTTCTTGACCTTTGAAAGGAAAAATAATAACAAGGCAAACCTGCCATTTTGCCTGAAGTCGATAAGGCCATATAACTTGCAGTACCTTCAATTCACAAGCTCAATTTTCATCCACTCGCTCTCAACTTTGAGAGGAAGAAATAATAACAGGTTCCAGGCACTTTATTTCAAAATTCACTCACAAAGTTATTGACAAGAATTCTGCACAGAATACCTTTGATGCTTGACCCTCGTGAGCTGTTTACATGAAAAATGCACTTACTTCTATATTAATGATAGTGGAGTGTAATTCTATCCCAAACATGTAGCAATTGCTTTAGCATTTCTGTTTTTGATATGGGAACAAAAACAGGGATAATTTGTCTCAAATTGCAGTCACTTCAGTCATAATAAAATCTCACGGAGTACTGTTTGCTTTCAGTACTTTTATTAGGCTGGCTGGGGCTGTTATTAAGGTACCAACACATAAATGTTATATTAGCACTTAACAGGAGCACAGTATTCTCCTCTAGGACATGAATTCTAACCTTGTCAATATAATTCTGCTCTGAGTGCTGTAAAACAGTTTAAAAAGACGAAATACTGGAGCTTTGCATTGATGAAAAAAAAAGAAGTCATGCTCATTCAGGCTTAAAGGCCACTTTGCTGGCCCAAGGTGCTGAGGTACTGGTTAGAAAAAAAGAGTCTAAAGAAGCTCTCTCAGGTCACATCAGGCACTAAGACAAACTTTTCGACTTCCCTGTACTTGTCTTAGGTTGTTAAATCAATTACTCGCTATTTCTGCTTGCCTTCAGCTGCCATTTAGAATATGAAGAACTACACGAAAATTAAGGCCAAGAGAAAGTACATTTCCAAATTTAACAAATGAGAATCATTCTGTGTGAAAGACTATTCATGGTGCACCTGTACAGTACCATAGCACTCATAACCTTTAACTTTAGAGTTTGCACAAAGCACAAGTGATGGAGCTACTGGGGACTAATAATCTTTCATCAGCGGCTACAGAATCTTACAGAAATACATCTAACAATGACCTCTTCTGACTTACTTTCAAGAAATTGCTGACATTTGTGTTGTACATGGATGCTGCATTTGAGTCATCTTTCAGAAATTTACAACTGTCTTAAATAGATGAATATCTTTAGGATAGACTGTCTAGTAAATGAGGATGGATATATAAGATCTGCTAAGAGATTATATTCATATGATGCAAGAACAATATAAGCAAGTATTAAGAATGAAAATGAAGAGGAATTAAATTATGGCTAAGTTGCTTTTTATAACTGATTTTGCACTCTCATCAATGAGATTCATCACTTCTGACAGGCAGCTGTGGTACTATGAATAAAAACATGTTTTTAGGGTTCTTGCCCAAGGATACTGTTGTAGGTCGTTCTATAAAGAAGTACAGGTTTCGGTCTAGTCTTTCTTTTACATCTTCACAGTCTTGGACAGAAAAAAATGAGGTAGAAGAGAATACAGATTGGATTGCAATTCTTGAAAAAGAAGTGTCAAATAATTCTTGGGAAGTTCTAAAATTCTTGTTGAGAGACATGAGAACTGTTGAGACAAACACTGTTGAAGGCAGTGATTCCTTAAAGTATGCATTCCCTGAGTTAACAAATTTGTACAAATTTTATTAGGCTACAGGTGTATCTGACATCTAAAGGTATTTGCCCTTCAACCCTTATTTTCTAGCTAGCAGTTTCCAAATGATTTTCAGTTCATGGGAGAAAGTCTGCATGTTGAAGTTCCAATTTCTGCTTGTTAGCTTTTCCATTGGATTTAATTCTTTCTAATAACAAATACTGCAAGGTAGCTTTGCACTAGGAGAAGTTCGATTGCCATAGGGGAAAATAAGCAGATCATAAAGGTTCAGTGGTTGACTGCTGAAATAATATGCAGAAAGATGCTACTTAATGTGCTACACTTTGATATGATCTGTTTTCAAGAGGACTAAAGAAGGACACCAGGTAACACCTATTCTCTATGCGAGACTGAAAATAAATTACTCTGTAACGATGTCTTTTTTCAGGAATAGATGTAAACTGGATCATCTCAGAGACCACACTATGACAGAATTCGGATTCTGTCAAGGTAAGAAATGGCAAATCCCAAAAATTTGGACAAATATTTGGTAAGACAAGTGATTTAGCTCTAACTGAATCTCACATTAGACTTTTGTCAAAACACGATGCACAACATCCTCCCTTTGCCAACAGAATCATCTGCTACTCAATTTATCAAAGATGGAAAAAAATAAGATCCATAAAGTTTGGAAAAGGAAGCCAAAAGCAGATTTTTCTAAATACATGTATTTAGAAATACATTGAACTGATATCATTCCGTATCCAAAGAAGGACTATCAACATTTTTTAACACCTTGCTTTAGAAAAAAAACATAACTCGACAAAGGACTTTTCCTACTGATATTCTTCTGGTGGTATAATGCACATTTCAATAACTCATAGGACAAACCAAAGGTACAGAGTAGATTATAGGATGGCTGAGAAAGTGAGTTTTCTTTACCTTTACTGAGAAAACTGCCATGCTAAGCTAAGTGACATCTTGGAAAGTCTGAATGGGCTGGTTAATAAAGAATCACAGCAGTTGACAGCAGTCAAGAAAGCAAGTAAAACAAAGAGAACAAAGTAGGTAACATTATGCCACTGCAGAAATTCACAGTTCACCCACATCTTGTGTAAGATAAATAACATTGCATCTCTCAACTGAAATAGGACATATTAGATCTAAAATGTAAGGTCAATAAGTATGATCAAAAGCTCTGGAGGATCTCACTGAAAATGTTCTCCAGCCTTCTTAACGAGAGGACAGAGGATTACAAAATCATACATGACATAAGAAGGGTGGATAGGGATAAGAACTGATTTTGCACGCTTGTCTTTCTGTACAAGAACTACGGACTATCAAATGACATTAGTAAGAGCATGGTTTCAAAAGGGACGATAGTGGGTGACACCTACAATTTCTTGATTCCAGGAACTTTATAGGGATTCAAGGGGAGCCTGAACCTCTCAGAACGAAGACTCAGTGGGCATTATAAAAGAGACATATTGAAATTCTTAGGTAATTCTTAATTTATATGAGTTAATAATTTATATAAAATTATTTATATAACTTAAATGAATCTATTTAAAAATGAATTAATATAGTTTGAGGTTGGGAGAATATTAAACTAGATGTACGCTTTTACTGTTTTTACTATTCACTTCTGCTTAGGGCTACTGTTTGGAGTCAGAATACTCAGCAGAGCTTACATCATTATGGCTATTCTTTTGTTCTTACATAGGAATTTATGCCAATAAATTGGCACATTAGTGGTGTGTTTGGTGAAGAACTAGGCTTTCTTGACTCGATTTGTTGATTTTTCACAACTAGTTCCTTCCAACATTTCCATAATTCTAAAGGAATTTCATGTTCATCTGTAATAATCCAGGCAGATTTTATAGATGAATAGTGAACACAGAATCAAGTAGAAGGATGCAGATAACAGCTTTGAGAGATTAAGCCTCTTCAACAGTGGTTATTGGTATCAGAATATTGGGCTGGAAGAAGAGGGAGTTCAACGTGGTTATTCCTTCTGAGAAAAAAGATTCTTCTTTTTCCCAAAACTTCTCCTTTTTCCCAAAGTAGAATCACATGTAGAACTGTAATCCTACTTTTAGGGTGACACATATATGTTCAGTCCCTGCTTAACTGATAGAGACAGCACAGACAACCAAAACATGACAGTGCCAAGCAGGAGATTTGCCTGCTTTAGGCACCTGCCACAGGAACAGGGATTTCAAGCCATGTTACACTGGAGCCATCCAGATAGTCTGCTCTACGTTAACCCCTCTAATGAGGTTCTGCAATGGATGCTCAACTCAAATCCACAAAAGTTTGGCTAGACACAGAAAGGGTCAAAGGCCTTGACAGAATACTTGTTGAAGGCCACAGTACTACAGTTATCAAGTGACATTCAATTCAGTAAGGTATCTAACAATGAGAAACGAGAAGGGGAACATCTTATATTTTATATTCGTGAATAAGTTGATGCTGAAAAGGTAGCTTGGTAGCAACATTCCTTAGGTAACACTTTTATGAATGTGTTTAATTCAGCCATACAAGCCCTTTCATATCCCAAGAGGCAAGGTGAACAACAGGGGTTATCAGTGGGTTT